GGCTCGCATGTTGCGATTATTTGGCAAGGACTTTAAAGCAGCCACTGTAAAATGCCTAACGGGTGGTCTTGAAACAAATGAAAAGTAGAAGAGATGGAAGATAGAAGAACCAAAGGGAAATCGTTGAACTGAGGAATCCGGTGGTTGAAATAAAGCGCTCAGTTGAAGGGCTCAGCAGTGGAATGGAGAAGACAGAGGAGAGATTGGGGAACCTTGAGACAGATCGACAGAAATTACTTAAGCCAAACAACAGAAAAAAAAACCGATTGGAAAAAATTAACAGAGCCTCAGGGAACTTTGAAGATCCCACATTTGTATCAAAGGACTTGTAGGATAGGAGAAAGAGTGTGGAGTTGAATATATATTTGAAGAAAATGACCCAGATTTGGTATAAGGTATAAATTACACAATCATGAAGTTTAATAAATCCAAATAGGATAAGCCCAAATAAATCTACACTAAGACGCATCATAAACATTTGAAAACTGAAGATAAGAAATGACCTTGAAAGGCTGCAGAGTAAAGATCTACTGCCTCTGGGGCATCACAGTTCGAATGACAGTGAACCTCTCGTCAATCCATGGGCCAGAAGGAGGCCGCACGTTTTTCAATTCTTAAGGAAAAGAACTGTCAATCTTGAATTCTGTATGTGGTGAAATTAGCCTTCAGGAATGAAGGGGAAGTAGACATTTTCACATGAAGGAAAACTCACAGGATGTGTTGCTAGCAGACTTCCCCTTAAAGGAAGTTATGTGCACAGAACGGAAGAGGTAACAGGAGGCGGCCCGGGACTCCAGGACGCAAAGGACAGTGAATGGTCAGTTCTGTGGTCAGCCTGGAGGGGGTTTCGGATGAGATTACTATTCAGATCAGCGAACATTAAGTAGACTTCCCCCTGTGTTGTGGGTGGCCCTTAACCAGTCAGTTGGAGGCCTTCCTGATAAGGATGGGCCTCCTCCCGCTGACCACCTCCTGGGGCCCCCAGGCTGCCAGCCCATCCTGCAGATGGCGGGACACCCGTGCCAGCCGATTCCTGATAACAGCTCTCTCCCTGTGTCTCTGGAGAGTGCTGACTAACACCAGCTTTCAGAATGAGCAGAATAAAAACTGGGGTGAATATAGCACATTATTCTTCCTCATGGATTCTTACATCCTACTTGATGGTTGAAGCAAAAATTACCTGGTGTGCTCAGTGTGCATAGAGGAGATACTGAGGACAGTTATACCTAAGAGGGAGGGGTAACAGGACCTGAGTGGAAACAAGGTTTCTGCCCTTCCCTGAAAGTGGGAAGGTGTGATGCCAGCGGAATGTGCTGGTTACGCAGATGTGGTGCAACACCTGGAGACACCTCCGAGGAAACCATACAAAGCAATGCACTCAAAAATAGTACAAGTAATCACAGTGAATTCTGAGACGTTCTAAAAGTGAATCCAGGACGGCACGAGGAGAGCAGCAGGGGAGTCAGGAATGGGGTAAGCAGCCAGCGAAGAAGAAAATGGCCGGCCTCAGCTCTGAAGTGCCCGTGACGACGGACGGACGGTCTGGCCACCTAAACTGCAAGACAGATGGGAAGTGCTTGAAAACAGCACTACCTAACGATGCACTACCTCCAGGAAATGTTCTCCAATGCGCGATGGCCCACACAGACCCCAGGGCAGAGCAGAAACTCAGCACGTGGCAGCTAGTGAAGGGATTACTTTCTAAAGTGTCCACCGCTTACTGTTTGCCAGAGCCCTCGGAAGGGCCGTCTGAAGCTGAGCCGAGCAAGCAGCTTGGGGCGGTGGGACGGCGGACAAAGCTTGGAGATGTGACCGGGGCGCCGTGGGCTGCATGGCCAGCTGGAGGCTTAGACGACACGAAAGTAGGTGGAACTCTGGGCCACTGGTGCAGTGTCCCCTGAAATCTCAGAGATGCGACTAAGGTTGCCTTCCAGGGGTTCACATAACAGATCAGAGAGGTAAAAAGTTACACTTAAATGGGTGCGTTTTGTTGTACGTAATGTTTACTTTAGTAACATTGACTTAGAAATAATTTCTAAACATAGTTTCTTATGTGTACTGATGAGCTGTAATTGTCTCTTTAGTTTACAGTGTTCCAGTTTTGAGTTTTTACTTACAGAACACTGTAAGCTAATTTTTCCTTACTGCTCAATTGAGATTAATCATCCAACATCTGTAGTGGTCCTTACTCTGTAAAAATATAATAAATCTCAAAACCAGGGAAATGAACCAGAAAAATTACTGTAGGTTTTAAATCACTTGGGAAGATTTTCTTCAAATGCACAGAACTGCTGGAATTCACGTCTTTTACTGAGTAAATCTCTTCCCTTAAGGGTTGTCACGGATGTTTGGGAACATGGCATAGGCACACACACTCACACATGTGCTCACGAAAGGCAGCTGTCCCTGTTCATTGGACGTCGTGGTGGCCCGCACACGTGGACTGTGACAGGGCCAGGCGCTGGAGGTGCCAGGGAAGGCAGCATTCCAGGCTGGTCTTTGTGTTGACCTTGTGGGTTGAGCGCCGTTTTGAGGTCCACAAAGGCAAACTCCTGCAGGAATGAAAGCGTGGCTCCTCAGGCCTGGGGCGGGAACAAGGACAGTGTTTGGGCCCTGGAGACGAGAGGGCTGCTGGGAGAAGGGAAAGTGTGCCTGTCGGTGAGAGGCAGGAGAAAGACCAGTCCTGGGCCCTGTGGAGGGGAGGCGAGAAGGGCAAGTGCTCCGGGGAGGAGCCCAAGGCAGGTAGAATCTGTCATGCTTTATACTCTGACTTTTAAAAGTTACTGTGTCTTCTGCGGGGTGGAATCTGATTAGAGAATTAGAAAATCCCGTGCATTGTCCTCCATGACTTCTGCCTGCCGCTTAGCCATCAGTGAAGGCACCCAGCACCGTCTGTCTCTAGGGGAGAAGCAAGCCACTGCTTCCAGCTAGAGGACTCGATGTTAACTCTAAATCCAGAGAACGGAAATGTGCGCAGTCCGGGAGGCTTTGCGCCCCTCCCCAACACCTCTCAGGTGCTGCCAGGTCAGGGCGAGGGAGGGGCTTCCTGCTGCTTGGCTTGCTGGACATACAGCAGGCGACGGGGACGAAACCTTCTGTTCCGTGGCCTGTCTCCGCTGTGGCCCAGGGTATACTTAACTCTGCTTTCACAGTGTGAGCAGATCGTGTGTAACCCGTGTTGTCACTCAGAAGATTCTGACAGATCTCTAAGCACGATTCACGTAGTTTCCTCTTGGAAAATACGAATCTGATCATTTCGTAAGAAAGTAAATAAAAAGAGGATGGATCTGAGCCGGAGCAAGAAGAATACCGGGTGGGACCGGGAGGGTAAAAACTCAGGTTTTATTCCAAAACTACAAGGCGGTGTCTTGGTGGCGTTGTTAGTGAAAAATGAACATTTTGCCTTAAAAATTCAGGAGTGCAGAGGTCTGTTTTTTTTTTTAAAGAGATGCAGCAAATTATATTAGGTACAGTAAAACCTTGGATTGTGAGTAACTTGGTTTGTGAGTGTTCTGCAAGACAAGCAAACATTTCTAATACATTTTAACGTAAACGAGCGATGTCTTGCAATACAAGTAGTTTGTTTCCGGAACAAATTATGCTCGCAAACCAAGGTGTTACTGTATTTTTTTCTTTTTAACAGTTTCCAAGAAATAATTTTCTTTATTATCAAGATACTGAGAATCTAGTCATTTGTTATTTCCTTAAATTATTACATATTACTACTAATTTAAGGTTATTTTAGTTGAAATCATTATCAGATTGCTCAAAATATTCCATTCATCCTCGTCTTTTTCTGCAAAGGATACTGCGTAGTGTCAGTGACACATGTAATAATACATTTCCAAAGCTGTTATGCACAGTAATTAGAAGAAAGTCTGATGGATAGAAATAGCTGTACATTTCGTTATTTGGGAATTACAGTGATGTTCATTGGCAGGTTACACTCATCTTTTCTTCATGTTTGGACATGTTTTGAGGACCATCTAAGTAAATAATTATGCAGAATTCCAAATGAGTGAATGTGCTGAGCCGTGTATTATGCCAGCAGTTCCTACTGGGCAGAGCCCCTACTGGGCACTTCCTCAGTGCTGTGCACGACTCGGGCCCCCTCACGTGGCACTGGACATCATGTAGTTAAAGTGTTAGGTGAAGGCAGGTGTGCTGACGTCCCCGTCCCATGGACTTGGAGTGACTAATTTACCCGGATGCACAGGTAGTGAGTGATTGGCAGCCTTAAGGGGAATCAGGGCCCAACTCCACAACATCTGGTCTGGACCAGTGTTATCTAATTGGAAAATGAGTCATTTTAATGTTACAGGAGCCATACTGAAAAAGTTTTCAAAAAGCAGATGAAATAAATGTTAAGATATTTTGCTTAAGAAAATATACCCAAAATATTATAATTCAAATATTACAAGTCTTTGAGCTGTTTTATGTTCTTTCTTTTTTGCAGTAAGACTTTGAGATCCTCTGAGTAGGTCACACTTCCTCCACAGCCCCGTTCAGACGGCCCATCTTGGGGGCTCAGTAGGCCACGTCTGGACAGAGTCCCAGACTTTTCTGTCATCAGCTGCCTATACAATGAATGGAAAGAACGATAGGTGTTTCCATTTAAAACTTGATCAGCTGTCATGTTCTTCAGATAGTCTGTGGAACTATAATCTTCAATTCTTTCCTGACCCTTTTATGGTGCTGCAGTCATTCTGCTTCTAAAGTTGTCACAGCACAGATGGACAAAGTGCCGGTCACTGACAGCCAGCTTGTAACAATTCACTTTGCTCGAAAACTGTGTTATTCTCTCATCCTCTTCCCTGGATTTCCATCTTTTTCTGCCAACAACGAAATGATTTATATTATGCATATTTGGACACAATGATGTATTTTTGTGAGGTGAAAGGAGTGTTTGTCCCAGAGGGAAGTATAATCTGTGCATGGACAGCGAGGACTGTGTAGTGTGGTTCTGGAATGCTTGCTCTGCTCATGTCTTCCTTCTGCAGAACCTCATCTGCTCTGAGTGTGGGGATGAGTTCACCCTGCAGAGCCAGCTGGCCATCCACATGGAGGAGCACCGGCAGGAGCTGGCCAAGAACCGCGTGCACACGTGCAAGGCCTGCGGGAGGGAGTTCGCCACGTCCGCGCAGCTGAAGGAGCACACGAAGACGCATTACAAAGTCAGGTGCGCGCCTGTGCTGGGGCTGGATGGCATGCTGCTGTGACGCCAGGACACAGCCGCCACCTGGGGTGCCCGGATGGCCTCGGTGATGCGTCATCACATCTACAGTAGCAAAGATGAGCTCAGCAACTAAAAATCGCTGTCAAGCTGTACAGGTAGAAAGTTGTAGCTGGATTTGAAGGTTAAAGAACGAGGCACAGGGAGTATGTTTTATGGGCAGTAACAGCGTGTAAAGTGGACTCACAAGGGCCAAAGCAGCTCCCTTTTTAATGGGTTGGTTTATCTACACCGCCTAAGTGTTTAGAATGCATGTGTCCGACACTGCTTAGCTTGTATATAAATGTATGTGTAAAACACCCCTATCAGGCCAGGCGCTTTCCTGTCCCCATTTTGGAGATGAGAAAAACTAAGTGAAAAAGAGAGACCATGTAACTTTCCCAAGGTTTTACAGCATTAGGGGCTTAAACCCCGAGTCTGGTTTTGGAGCTCATAATATACTAGCAACCATGCCTGTATTTCAATACGTATATACATTTATTCCTACTGCAGTGCAGTGTGTCTCTCAGAGTTTCATACTTGGCCTATTCCTGATGATACATCATTACTGATGTTTCCTTTTCTTCATGAAATTGAATGCAGAACCCTCCCTGGCCCTTTGTGTTCAAGTTAGAGAACGTTGATGGTCACTTGTCACTTCCTGAGCCAATTTCTCCGACAAACGGTACAGCCACCTTCAGCGACCTTGTTGACGCTGCCTTGTCAGTTCAGCGTGTCATCATCCCAGCACACCTCGGTGCTTTTGAACAACAGCACAACAAGCCCCACACTAGTAATAAAGTTTATAAGGTGCTCGCAGGCTTTGCACGTGGGCACTGGGCCGACATCTCCGTGTGATCCGCATCTGAGCCCCCTTCCTGCGCCTGTTGACTGACTGAGGCGGTGCCCACCTAATACTTGACAATCTCAGTTTTTTTTAAGCCCCCAAATATAATGCATGCACAGCACACACTAGATTTTTCTTTTGATGAAGTGTCAACACAGGCACAGTTGGTGTCTCCAGAGGCTTTGGAGAAGTGACTGCAGGTATGTAGGTGACCATTATGCGCTACACCACACTGGCCCTGAGTCTCTGGGGCCGAGGGACAAGCCAGACAGATGGCCTCATGCTCACGGAGCTATCCTAGAGTAGGGCACACAGACAGTGATGGAGTGAACAGGTCAGTCAGTGTGACCATTTCAGCGAGTGGTCATGGTGAGAGGGGGTGAAATTGCGTTGGTCCGGGCCGAAGGGAGCCCGCGGGGACGGGAGGGAGTCGGCCTGGGGCTCAGGACCTGGGCGGCCACCCGGGAATGAGGTTTCCATCGCGGGTGCAGTGGAAGCCATCAGAGGGTTTTACACACGGGACTGGGCTGCCCAGACCTCATGGCTGCTGGCTGGGATGTGCTGGGCAGACTGGTGGACCAGTAAGCGGGAAGGCTGCGCTGTCCTACGACCATTGTGGTGGCTGCAGTACGCAAGATGGGAGCATCTTTGGGGGGTGTTTTGAAGTGAAACCAGCAGCTCTTAGAGAGGGACTTGAGGTCAGGGCTGAGGGAGAGGACAGAGTCCGGCGTGACTCTTCAGGCTGAGACTGGCCCAGCTGGGAGTTGCCATTTCCCGTCACAGAGAGGGGTAGGTGGGGAATAAAGTAAGAGTTCTGTTTGTGACCAGCTAGGTGTGAGCCACCACCGAGCTGTCCCCGAGGAAGGAGGTGGAGCAGTTAGAGGGCTGGGCTGGCGCTCCGAGGCGGCGTCAGAGCTGTTGGCGGTGACCCTGGGGAGATCAGCGCATCTAAGTGGCACTGAGAGCATGGGATGGGGAGCAGCCCAGACTCATGGCCTGCAGAATTATAGCTGCACCCTGCTCCTCCCCAAAACCCAACAAACTATGGAAAAGATGAAGTTTTATGATACTGCATACACAAAACTAATATGTGTGTGTGTGTGTGCGCGCGTGCAGGAGACACACACACACACACACACACACACACACACACACACACGGGATCGCTTTCGCACTAAAGTTCTCATGACATGTTCTCATGACAGCTAAACTTTCATGAGTTTAAAGTCCAAAGTGCGACTTTACTCTGGACCTTGTGATACAAAGGAGACGACTTAATGAGCCCCCTCCCCCATTTTGCACCAGGGTGTCCCGGGCGTACAATCGGAACGTCGACAGGAGTGGCTTCACGTACTCTTGCCCACACTGTGGGAAGACGTTTCAGAAGCCCAGTCAGCTAACGCGCCACATTAGGATCCACACAGGTACGAAGTGCGCTTACCTGCAGATGGCTGAGGCTGTGGCTTCAAGGGGAATGTGCTGGAACTTAATCCTGGCTTTCCATTGTTTGCTCTGTATCTTGGTGTTCATTTTGAGGTTTGGGGTGGGCAGTTGGGTGGATGAGTCTACAGTTGCGGGAGGCGTTCTGGCCAGAGGGGTGATTTGGGGTCGTGCATGTGGGTAGCATGTGTATTCCTCTCTTAATCCGGCAGATGCTCTCACTGTACCGGTTTTGTTTGACCATTTTCCTCCCTCTCTAGGTGAAAGGCCCTTTAAGTGTAGTGAGTGTGGAAAAGCCTTTAACCAGAAGGGGGCGCTGCAGACCCACATGATTAAGCATACAGGTGAAAAGCCCCACGCCTGTGCCTTTTGTCCTGCTGCCTTTTCTCAGAAAGGAAATCTCCAGTCCCACGTGCAGAGAGTCCACTCGGAGGTGAGCCTGGCACCGGGGCTATGGAAACGTGCTCAGTAGTGCCCCCGACTTTGGGAACCTCCCTCCGGGAGGCCCTGAAACACCCTGTGATGGGACAGACTGAGCTGCTCCGGAAACCGCCTCTAAAGATTGGATGCTCTGGGGCTGGCCGAGTGGCTCAGTTGGTTAAGAGCTCGCTCAAGAGTGCAAGCTCTGAGCAACAGCAGTTCGATTCCCGGCCCGAGCTGAGCTGCCGCTGAGCTGCCAACAGGTAGCAGGATAGCTCAGCTAAAAATAAATAAATAAGTAAATAAATAAATAATAAAATAAATATTAGATGCTCTGACTCTGGGTGGTGAACACTCAATGTGACGTATAGATGATGTATTACAGAATGTACACCTGAAACCTGTGTAAGTTTACTAACCGTTGTCACCTCTATAACGTTAATTAAAAAAAAGATTAGATGCTAAATACCACTCCATCTGCAACGAGTCGAAAGCCTTAAATCTGGCTCTCCACAGGCTGTTAGGAGACCTCGTCCAGGCTCAGGGTGGGCTGTCAGGTTTCGAACCAGGGACCGAGGTGGGCCTGGCTGTAGTGGGAGAAGCTGGGCGCCCTCTCCGTGCCTCCATCGCCTGTTCCCCTTGCTGCTGTCTGGTCCACGCAGGGCTGCCTCACAGTTTTGAGAAGTAGCTGCTGATGTGGAATACTGCAACTGCTGATGAAAAATGTACACATTGTATGAATCCTCCCTACTTGTATGTTTTAGCCCCAAGAAGTCTTAGAGGTATATTTATATCGAACTTCTAGCCTTCACTATTGAGCAGTGTGCTTAACTGTTTAGGAAACTGAGAACATACGTCAGACATCTCATTTTTCCTAAGTTATAATAACTGCAAACTATATTTTGTTTCACTCCTGAATCAGTTCTAATATAGAAAAGACCCTGATGTTTCAGTTAATCTCATACTGGCAATATTGATTAAAGAGAGATGGGTCATTGACTCTAAGGCTAATTTTAAAGAAAAAGTAATGTTAAAGGGTTAGATTTCTTTCCTGTCATTTTTAATGGCCTGGTAAATTATGATTTGTCGCAATTGAAATATTTTTATCTAATAATTGTGAAATCGTTTTTTCTCTTTCATTCTTTAAGGTCAAGAATGGGCCCACCTATAACTGCACAGAGTGTAGCTGTGTATTTAAAAGTTTAGGGAGCTTGAACACCCACATCAGCAAGATGCACATGGGTGGGCCTCAGAATGCTGCAAGCTCTGCAGAGACTGCTCGCGTCTTCACGGTGAGTTAGTGAGCTGGTGATGGAAGGATGTTCTTTTACAAAATCTGTCACCTTAACTAAGACCTTTAAAATGGAATGTTATTTGGTACCATAAAGATACTATGAAAGTTTTTTATAGAGAGGCAAGGTGCTACTTTTTTCTAATTAGTGAAAAAAAAATCAATCTCTTAAATTTTAGAATAACGTTAGATGATCCTGATTTATGGACTGTCACCTGGACCAGTAAAAACAAGACAAGGGTAATCATTAATTTAGGAAATTGTAACTCCTACAGCATTATTGGTGATTATTATTCAATAGTCTAAATCATTGTTATAATTTAAAAATCAGTTATCCTTTGGGCCGGCTGAGTGGCACATTGGATAAGAGCTGACTTGGGACGCCAGAGGGCTCCGGTTCAGATTCCACATATGAGGGCCAGTGACACTGCCCTCTACAGCTAAGATGCTGAACAACAGCTCAACCTGGAGCTGGGCTGCCGTGAGTCGCTGGCGACGGCGTAGGCTGCAGCCCCTGTGGCAGTGGGTTGCCATGGGCTACCATGTGTAGCCAGCAGCCAGCGTGAGCGGCCAGCAGCTGCAGTGAGCGGCCGTCCAGAAGCCGGTGACTGATCTGCCTTGCCCAGGAAGAGTGCAATGATGGTGCCAACTTGGGCCAGTGAAGCAACGTCCTCCACAACTAGACTGAATAACAAAAGGACAGTAACTTGTCTGTTCCCCTTTCCCCAATTCCCCAGCGCTGTTCCCATCCCCCAACTCCCCAATTTAAAAAAAAAAATCAGTTATCCTTTTAAGATATACTTTTCCATGTCTCACATGACAGTGATTGTTTTTTTCTGAGATTTTGGACTTTTGGCAAACTCAATTGTATTTTCCAGGACATGTATTTCAAGATGGATGACTCAGAGCACAAACACTTCTGTTCTTTTCTGTAGGGTCTGTAGCTCAGCCTCGGTTGGTTACTTCCACCCTCTCAATTGCTAGTGAATGGCAGGCTGTAAGCAGAGTTTTATCAGCCGGTGACCCTGGTCGCAGACCCTTGGAGGCGTCAGTGTGTTCATGCAGGCAGCTAGCTGGTGGTTTGTGTCATAGCAGCAATGCCTCCTTCCAGCTCACTGCTTATTCCTAAGCATGCAGTTCTCATTCAGCGTTTGTTTTTTCTTTTCTTTTCTCACAACATTTGCAGCTTGGGATGATTCCTCAGCTTAGTCTCGATCAGGGAAAACGTTGTAAATAAGTCCTAAAACTGGAGAATAATTAGAGCCTAATCGTTAGGTCTTAAAATTCTATTTTGGACTGAGAATTTTTTAAATAAAATTTTCAGTGTGTAAACCACCAAATAAGAGTTTTTACCATTTTCTTTGGCAATATGCAGATCAAATGCATAGATGTAGCGGAGACCTAGAGTGATAATCCAGGTGATTTAAAAACTTTGTATTTTTGATCAGAAACTGCAGTGTCGGGGTGGAGACCGGGGGTCCGGCCGGCCCCGGCCCTGACTGCCCAGCTGTGCGCTGTCTGGCGGGGTGGCTGGGAATCAGGGCGCAGCCTCCCGGCTCGGTGGCGAGGTCTCGGCCTCTGGCTTTGCCTCTCGCTGTGCTCACTCGCGGCCTTTCTGCTCTACTCACGAGGGTCTCAGCTTTGTCTCGTGACTTGTATTTGTTTGCTTGCACGAGTTTTCATTTCTGGGGGCTCTTCTTTGTGATCCGATTGTTTCTCTTTCAAGACATTCTTTTCTGGTTTGATGCACTTTCCTCTGAAACCTGATTAGCATTTTCTGTTTAAAAGTTCTCTTCTTGCTCCTCGAGTTACCCACGCTGGGTCATCTCCCCACTTCTCTCTCGTTCAAGTGTAACTCTTGGTGCCTGTTTGTCTTTCAGAATGAGACAGCAGTAAGCCTGTGTGTGAACTTTTCATGCAGAATGGAGCTGGGTCATCTCCAGGGCCACTTTACCTGTGATTGGCCAGGGAACCAGCTCCTAAACTTGGGGTCCCTGGTGGCAGGACATAAAAGATGTCTTGTTTAGTCTGGAGAATTAAGTGCCACAAAAGGTGTCTGACTTCTCCCCTGATAGTTCATTTATTTTTATCACTTTTAGAGGCGATTCCCCATGGTGAGTGTTTAGCTGCCATCTGTTCTATGGAGGAAAACAAGGGGTTAATTGTCAGTTCTAGGTAGTTTTTCCACTGTCTTTATTTTCTTTCATTAATAAACTTTACTTTTAGAGCAGTTTAGGTTTACAGAACAACTGACCAGAAAGTCCATAGAACTCCACATGTTCCCCCCCCCCCGCCCCCCAGCTCACGGAGTTCCGCACTGTGAACCCCTCCTCGGTGTGGCGTTTGTTAAAGCGCCGAGCGCATCCTGCATTGTTAATCCTGAAGACCCCAGCTGATGTTCAGGCTTACGTGTTGTGCTGTGTGTTCTGCAGGTTTTGACAGATATGTGGTGTCCTCCGCCCTCCGTGACCATGTCACACACAGGAGTCGCCCTGCTCACCACCATCTTCTCAAACAGCGTTCAAGTTCCCGAGTTCCTGAGGAACCGCACTGGCCCTCCCGAGAGTCTTAGCTGTGGCTTTATAGAGCGTCGATTCCTCCAGTGCCCCTCTTTTCCAGAAAAGTTTTGAATTTTTTGACCATGGTGCTTTCTGATTTTTTTTGTAACGTTTTTTTACCCCTTCGTTTTCACGGGCCAACAAGAGTATGAGTTCTGTGTGCTCTGTCCCCCTTGGCAGAATTGATAGTATCTACTACCACTTACAGAACTTCAAAAAAGTTGGAGTAGAAAAATTCATTAAATATGTTTTAAGAGCCAGGACTGTGCCAAACGTAAAAATTAGTGAGGCATCATATTTAAAATGTGTGAGATATTGTCAGATTTTAATGCTCACGGGGAAGGTATGCCTGTTTCCTTCCTTTTTAAAACTGAAGTACAAATGAATGTAATTGTTTGTGTTTTTGATGACTTGTTTGCTGTCTTTCAGGCCACACTGTTCCAGACTTTACCTCTTCAGCAGACGGAAGCCCAGGTCTCATCAGCTTCGAGTCAGCAGAATTCGCAGGCAGTGACCGATGTGATCCAGCAGCTCCTGGAGCTCTCGGACCCGGGGCCGGGGGAGTCCAGCCAGGCCACTCAGCCTGGCCAACAGCTGAGCATCACCGTGGGGATCAGCCAGGACATTTTACAGGTGAGGCGCGTCCCTGCTCTCCTGTGTGTGTGTCCCGATTGAAAAAGTCACAGGGAAACAAAATAAGCTTACTAAGTTACTTATGGACAGTGCAGAGGCTAAATGATTTACTAATCCGTACATTTAAAAATCGTGGAAACCCTCACTTTTCTCTCTTAAGTGAATTTACTTGAAAAGAGTGGGCTCGTGTCTACGTCTGTGGACCGAGGCATAGGGCCTATTTTACCCTTTCTCGAGGTTCTACTATAACTATTTGGGGAGTCCGCACAGCTGCTCTTGTCCGAGTCTGCTCCCTGCACAAGGGCTGGGGCCCGAAGCACAGGGCACTTTCCCGGCTCCTTACCTAGTCCAGCTTTATGTTCTGTCTTCACTTCTAAACAGAGACAGCCTCGCCCCTCCTCTCTATTTGTGAGTTTGTTTATTCACTTATTATGAAAACTAACCTGTGTCCTCTGCCCTGTGGTGACAAGTTGTCTGGGGGTCACTGCAGCCGATGTCTTAAGGGTAAACCCAGTGTAACTTAAAACAGTGATTCCCAAATCTGTCGGATACAACCAGAGTGGGCTGTGGTGAAATATCTAAGAGTCAGAACAATGAATTTCAGCTCCGTCATTCAGAAGTATCAGTGCTTGCCGTACCATATTTGGGTGGAGGTGAGGTGTCAGATGTCAGGCGGGACCTGTCGGCCTCCAGAGGGTAGTGGTCTGGCTCACAGATGACATCTGGCTGCAGACCTTTGTTTTGGGAAGGGTGGCCTGTGCGTCCCGGTGGTGAGGCTGGCTCAGTCTTTGTAGCTGACTTGGGAGGCAGGTTCGGGCCGTCGGATCTCCTAACCTTCTAGTTTTGTTCTGTCTCAGCAAGCCTTAGAAAACAGTGGGCTGTCTTCAATTCCAGCTGCAGCACACCCCAGCGACGCCAGCCTCGCCAAGACTTCTGTGCAGGCTCAGGATGCAGACCTTGCCGACGTGCCCAGCGAGCCGCCCGAGCCCCCAGAGGCCGAGCAGGACAAAGGGCAGGAGAGCCCAGAGAAGCTGGACAGAAAGGAAAAGAAAATCCTGAAGAAGAAGTCACCATTCCTACCCGGTAATTTCCACGTGCGTTTAACGTTTGGCATGTGGGAGGGCACACGGTGTGTTTTGAAGGAACATGCCTTGTTTTTCTTCTAAAGGTGATGTTTGTTGACGGTTGACAGTATCTACCTAACAGCGTTTGTTAAGACATTTAAAATTAAAAATGACAAGATGAACGTGTCATCTCCCTTGTGCTTGGGTGGTCTCCTCCCGCCTCCTCTGAGGCCTTGACCTTCCGCTGGCTTTGACCTCCTCTCCTGCCAGCCAGATCCCTGTGCTCCAGTCTTTCCTGCCCGGCCCTGTGCAGACTTCTTGGCTGCATCGCTGAAGCCTCCTCCTGAGGCTCCGCCCTCCTTTCCACTGGGGCTGCCTCGGGCGACCTGTGAAGTGCAGCCCCTCTGCCCAAAACCCTTAGCGTTCCAGTCCTTGGCCTTGGAGCCTCCGTGACCGGCCCCACAGGCATTTCCAGTCCTCCTGGCATGCTTTTCTGGTGCCAGCTGGCACAACAGTCACGTTGGTTCCTGCTGAGTCTAAACAGCCTTCGTCACCTCTGAATGCCATGCTGCCCCCTAGGCCGGCTGCTTCTAGAACGTGGCCTTCCTCATCCTTCTGTCTGTTCCTGCTACACCCTGGAGGTCACTTAAGGCCAGCCCCCGAAGAGCACTCGCTCCTCTCAACCCCACCGTGTCTCGTGGCAGTGGGTGTGCAGCTGGAATACACCCTTTCATTTCTGAAGACCCCCATGCTCAGCGCGGCTCTTTGCATGGAGCCGGCACTGCTGTGTCTTTCTTGAGTAAAGGAGGGTCCTGTCTTTGGGGCAAAAGTGTCCGTAAGGACATTTTCTTAGTGCAAAGAGCTGTTCTAAGTGTCGTGGGGACAAGGGCTGTCTCGTTGCAAAGCATGGGATGATCTATCATCTCTGTTAGTGCTTCTTCTGAGAATGTCTTTTCTCACTGTTAACAGGAATTGGGAAAAATCCTTGTCTCAGACCACAAAGCAAGGAGTCCTGCTGTCCTCTTCCCCTGGGTCTGCCCCCCACCCCAAAGTCAAGATAGGATGATGCAATCGAAGCGGTTTATGATCAGGCTTTTCCTGGTGTCCAGGGAGGCAAGACGAAAAAGGGGCCATTGCCACATATTTTGTTAGCCACGTGATAGCCTCACAGCTTACAGGGCAGCCTTACATTTTTGAATATCGGCTTATGTGCTCCTATGAAAGAGCGCATCGCAGCTGAGTGCAGCCTTCCCCACGCGTTACCCTGGCTGCTGTCGGCCGCTGTTCTGCTAAAACCTTTGCACGTGCTCTGACGTGGCTGCAGCCACATGCTCTTCTCCCAGAAGGCCGGACCGACTTCTTGAAGCGTCAGTGGCAGTGGCTCACCCCGCCACCTTCTGGGTGTTAGGGTCAGCTTTCCTTCTGCACTGAGCGTTACACAGAAATTTCGAAACGGAGTTCTCGTTAGTTAGCCTTCTTATGCAGGGCTTCACTTTGTGGTGCTGTGCTTACAGAGTTAGCAAAGATTATATAAATTAAATTTAAAATACTGGCATAGGTTAAATACATGTGAAGAGTGCTGAGCAAGTTTTTGCAATTCTAGTGAATTTTAGATTAAATTACTTTTTTTATTTCTCTCACTTTTTTTCCCTTTATTTTTTCTTTATGATGCAATTTTAGTTTGCTTGGCCAATATCTTCTTTACAATGTCACTGTAGAAAATACACTTTTTAATTAAAAAAATGTATAACAGGCAGTTAACTTATGAAACTGCTGTCTTCGGTAGAATACACATTGGTGTTGAAATAACTTACAGAAATGTAATTGCTATAGACAAAAACTAGTTTTGATTATTGTATTTCCTTCATACTGTGTGTCGGCACACATAAAAGAAAATTAAAAATTTTAAGCATTTTATATTCAGTAATTTAAAAACTATACTGTTTTCCGCACCTATGGTCTTTATAAAGGACTTGACTGAAAGTTTCATAATAAAAAAAAAAAAATTAAGGTACCAGGGCACCTGGGCGGCATGTCGCCGTAGCATTTTACAGAACAGTTTGCGTCAGCGCCAAGCAGCCTGTCTTGTTGTCCCGCCCCTGCACTTAGGGAACCCGTTCCCGGTGTATGTCCTGCAGCGAGTTCAGAGCAGTGTGGAAAAGCAGTGTGGCTGGCACGGGGAAAGTGCGTCCTTGTCAATCACTGGCGTCCAGAGGGAATGTGGGCCCAGCAGGGTCAGGCCGCAGGCTCGCTGTCTGGGCCAGGCCAGTGTCACTGGCTAAGGGCTGCAGCCTCAGGAGCTGCCTGTATGGAGAGCAGGTGCTCTCCTTGCAGGCACTGCTCACTCGGTGGGCCCGTTTGGGGGGCCCATTCCTGCAGGTGAGGTGCTGCATGCGTATTTCCCGGGTCAGCGTGTGCGCCGCGGCTCTGGAGGTGCGCTGCTGTCAGCGACCAGCGGGTCTCACTGGCGCGTCTTCACCGCCCGCCCAGCGTTCTGCCTGCTCCCATCTCTGTGGCTGGGGCTGGACATGCAGCTGCCCCTTGGTGACAGTAACATTCTCTGACGCTCGCGCAGCTCGACTTTGCTCCCTCCCTGCCTGTGAGACTTTGCCGGAAGCAAAGTAAGTGCTGTTGGAAGCCGCAGACCCGTCGTTTTCTTGTGCTTGTCTGAGCGACACCAGATGCGCGTGAAGCAGAGGTGTGGGCGTCTGCTGTAAAAGCGGGGTGTGGCTGTGTGTGGCGGGGAGCACAAGGGCTCCTGAAGGCCCCCAGCTTCATATCTGGGCGTGCGTCCTGGGTGGGTGGGGTGAACAGAACTTCCCCTAGGCCGGTGGTCATGCCGTAGAGAGCTGTGCGGACTGCAAGGGCCTGCCTGAGCGTCTGTGAGCCGTCCAGCCGCCTGGTCCACCGTCTGCCTTGGTGACAGCTGTGCAGGTTCCACTGGCACGTGCGACGGCGTGGCTGACACATCTGCTCAAGAGGCCTGCCTTTCTTCATCTTGTGCCAGCATCAGATCTTCTCACAGAATTTGCAGCTTGTCCAGCAGTGGAAGTGATGGGACCCTCGTGGATGCTGGCTGCCCTGTGCCGGCCTCCTCGGCCGGCAGCCAGCACTCCAGCGTCTCATGTCACAGCTGCTCCCAGCTGTCCGGTAAGGGCTGGTAGCCACGCGCCACAGCGAAAACCCTGACACGTCTGTTTATCCAGAACCGCCTCCACCGAAGGATGCATTGGGTTTTGGAGATTCGACAGCTCTAGAAAGCAGGTCACTGGTTCCGCTCCGCACTGGTGCACCGGATGCCACAGACCCCGTGATCCAGGCAAACTGTTAGTACATTAGGGACATGTTGGGGTTCAAGTGTGAAGCCATCACATCTGGCAGCAGAACCCCGGTGTCACGGGCACCTTCTCTTGTGTGCAGACTGACTGCAGAGTGAGGCGGACATGTCCGGCTAGAAGGGTTCCCCCTCCTCCCCCCTGGCTGTCTCTCAGGCTCCGCCTTGCTGACTTCCACCACGGGGCACTCTGGCCAGTGGGACTTGAAGTTTCTGGAACTAGCTCCACACCTGGCTTTTTCTTCCTTTGCCTGAAAATGTACTTGAGGCCAGGTCCTTTGTGGCCATGAGGTGGCTGCCTTTCAGTGTACCAGAAGGTCAGGTCACGCGTGCAGATGTTTCTGAGTGTCCTCCTATGGGTGGGTCTCTGTGGCCTTTGCACGCCTGTATGCACGAGTGCAGGTGCCTGTCGTATGTAGCACGCCTACCACTGTGCCACATGCGTGGGTACATCGCCACACCAGGGTCCCCTCATGGGCAGGTGCGTGCCTGCGGTGGCACCGGCACACGGTGAGTGCGTGCTCAGCTCTCCTGGAACGGACGCGTGGGGGGCAGACCGTCCTGAGAAATTACACCGACTCAGCGTGCACCTTGACTTGTCCATCACTCATCTGACCTTGGGCAAGTGTGTTAACCTTGAAAATGTCAGCTTTTTCACCTGTAAAAGGGTCAATGGTAGAATAAGTGAAAGAGAATTGAGTGAGAAAGTCCACGTTGAGTATGTGCAATGGTGCCCGACATAATAAGTGCTTAAGGGATACATACATTTTAAAATTATTTTTAAATTGGTGAAATTTGGCTCGTGCCACACAATTCAAGATACACAGCACTACAGTAAGAAGTGAGAAGCCCCCTGGTCATCCTTGTCCTCTGTGCACCCAGCCCCGGGATGTTGCCTTCTCTGGGGCCTTTCTCTTAAAACAAGCGTGGGTGATACGACATGTCATATATATGTTACTGTTATAGCAGGATAGGTGGCATACTGTAGATGCTATGTTGCAGCAATTATTTCCGTCTGATACCTAACTTCACAAAATGCCCGGAGAGCGTTCCATCTTAGGGATAAATAACAGACAGTGCTGCCGTGGGTATGCTTGTAGCTGTCATTGCACACATGTAAATTTATCTGTAGGGTACACCTCTCGAAGTGTCCGAGGTGAGTGTCAAAGCGTGAGCTCTGTAAACGTTGTAAGGTTTAAATTTTGAAATAATTTGAGGCTTAACAGAAATGTTGCAAAAACTGTACAAAGAATTCTCGTACGCCTTTCATCTAGATTCCCCAAGGATGAACATTTTCTCACATTTGCTTTCTCTTTACCTGTATTTTCCCTGACTTTTCTGAGAGTGACTTGCAAATATAATAGCCCTGTAACTGTACAAACATGAGTGTCTCTCCTCTGGCCAAGAACACCGTCTGTGTAACCACAGTACAGCCATCAACATCAGGGTGGTAAAATCGACCCGCCTACAACCTTCACTCGCTATGTGGGTCACCAGTGTGCTTGATAACAAAAGAAAAAGTTGTGTGCAGACTTCAAAATTATGGGCACATTGCTGATTTCCTTCCGTGGAGTCGCACTGACTCCAAGCCCAGCAACGTGTATTGGAGCTTCTGTCTGTTCACAGCCTTTGGAAGAGATTGTCATAAAAACTTTGGGACCCTTTTTACTCCTCTGACAGGTTAAAAATGGTTTCTTATCATCGCTCTAATTCCAGCTTCCTTAGAAGGAGCTAGATTGAACACCTGTGTGAACTAGACTGCTCTGATTCCTGCTCGCCATGCTCCACTGAGAAGGGTAGTGCCTTTGAGCTGTATTTGCGACACGTTCTTTTCCTGATCTGTTTGCCCTATTGAGTTAAAAGGGAGATTTTGTTTTTATAAAGCCAAGTGGTCAGTGTTATATGATGCTTGGACTTGTGTAGTACCTTATACTTCAACACTGACATTATGGAAAAGCAAACTCTTTTATCTAACACTTTCATACTTCCATATTTTAAACGGAATCTTTGACTCCGTTTTGTTTCCAGATGGACAGCCAACTGTCCAAACACCGTTTATTGAATTACGTAAGTCACATTCTCCCCAGTGAAATGCAAAGCCACCTTTATCACACATTATACTCGCAAACCTGCATCGGTCTTTTCTGGATTTCATTCTGCCCTGCTAATCTGCCTTTTGATCTGTGTGTTCTGGTACCAAACGGCTGTAGCTTTATAGGCTCTCACAGTAGGGAGCACTAGATCGTATATGACTAGATCTTCTAGGCTCTCACAGTAGAGAGGCATGCCCTCTCTTGCTGCACTTTTTTCAAAGTGTGTTTTTGACTCTTTTCACATATTTACTTTTTCACATGTATTTTAGAATTATCTGCTGAAGTTCCACAACTGTAGTTCTACCAAAGTCCTGTTGGTATTTGTATGTAAGTGATTTAACCAGGGCGACTTGGGGTCTTTATAATTTTTAGTCTCTATATTAAAGAATAGACTATGCGTTTCCATTTATTGAGATTTTCTTTTTTTTTCATATTTTAGTAGTATTTTAAATTTTTCTTCTGAATTTTATTTGTGGATATGAGGGATGTTGATTTTCATGTACTAAAACGTGAGCCTCTTTTTAAGTTTCAGTTTTTCTAGGTATATAATCATATCATTTGTAAATAATGATTTTACCTTTTCCTTTACAGTGTATACTATATATCTCTATCTAATTTCATTGGCTAGTATCTCTAAACACCGTCAATTAATGGCCGTGGTAGTGACTTTTTCCTGACTTCAACAGGATTGCTTTTAGTACTTTACTATTTTTTTTTTAAGATTTTTTTTATTGGGGAATTGGGGGGATGGGAACAGTGCTGGGGAATCGGAGGAAGGGGAACAGACAAGTTGCTGTCCTTTTGTTCTTCAGTCCAGTTGTGGAGGACGTTGCTTCACTGGCCCAAGTTGGCACCATCATTGCGCTCTTCCCGGATGAGGCACATCAGTCGCCGGCTTCTGGACG